TCTTGGCCGGATGTCAAACATTCTTCCATCACTGGTAAAAGCTATTCTTCTAAATTTGCCAAATATTTGTTTGTATCCACATTTCCATCAATAAAATGAAGTTTTCCTACTCCTTTTGATGACATACTGCCCCAGACCATAATGGATGCTGGAAATTTTACTTTTCTCTTCAGACAGTGAACATGGAATGCTTCATTTTTTTTGCGAATAATTCTACTGCAACTGTCACCAACACAAACTTTGAATCGGGCCTCATCACTCCATTGTATTGCACACGATTGTTGAGGTGTCCATTGTCTATGTTCTTCAGCCCATCTTTTGCAGTGGAGTTAATAGTGGCTTTTCTTTGAGTTTTTACTTCACTTTTTTATAAGAAAACTTGCCTCGCAAGTGTTAAATCCCAGTTTGTGGGCCTCTCTCTGAGTTGTGGACTCTCCACAGAGCACTTAATTGTAAATAATTGGCACGCCTGTTTTTCACGATTATTCTTCTTAATGCTCTTCGGTCGGCATTTGTGATATTACTTTTTTTCACATATCGTGGCTTAATATTAACTGAACCAGCTACGTTATATCTTCTAACAATATCTCTTACACTGTACCGCGATAAGTCTAACAAAGTTGCGATTTCTGAGTTTGATTTCCCAGAATTAAAAAATTTAATTATCAGTAACCGAATTTTCTCACCAATAACCTTTCCTCTACCCATTTTGAAAACCTTAACTACCCAAAACTATTTTAAACGTATTCTGACAGCTGTGATTAAGAAAAACAATTGTCATGGCTTTTATTTTTCACAGCCACCTATGCGTTATAGACTTACTTTGCATTGAAATGAAAATAGGTTGATATGCTGTAGTTGCAACATGTGTCATTTTTATGCTGCAAGTTCGATTAGGGAGTGATAAAGTTGATGTTTTCTACTATATGTTATCAAAATATTCAGTGTTAATATTTTAAACCTAAAACACCCTGCTACATTTTTATTATTTGTGTTTGATGAGAAAAACCTAAGATTTCATTAGTTGGGCCAACTGAAGTGGGAAGTGGCTCGTAGATTCAAGATCATACATCTTCAGTTTCTATTGCTTAAATTCATTTCGTTTGTTTGATTTTTCTTCCGTTCATTGAAATAATGTTTACGTTTCTCCTCATTTTGCCAAGAGAAGCATACTATAGTTTCACTACCTTCCTGTGACTCCAAATTTTCATCATCAATACATTTTTTTTTTAGTTTTTATACCAGCTTTCGAAGTTAACGCGTAGCTCTTGTTCCTCAATACGTCCCTGGTGGTGGCAAATGATTAATGTTAGCTGTCAATCGCAAGACCTGCATAATGAAGATGGAGGAAGTTGGACTGTTCTGTGGTTCCAAGTTTCTGATGGAGAGCTTATATATAGGCTCTAGTACAGCTGTACCAGAGTTGACAAGTAATCAGTCAGGAGAATTTTACATTGGGCTATTATTTGAGGGTCTGAAAAGCTTAGGAAGTTCCAGCAGAAGTTTTTGCATTAAACAGTGTTTCTTAAAGCGGAGGGCTTTAGAAAAGATATTTATCTAAAGTGTAGTCCTTGTAAGGAGTCCGACCTTTCCACTTTGAGTGCTGTCGTAAGACAAGCTCTGAGTATCCTTACTATATTTCTGTATCTCAGGATCAGAGCATGTTGAGTCGATCTAACCAAAAATTTGTTTTATTTGTCGTAAGTCTGAGATGATATTGTGTGTTCATTTGCTATACTCTGATACCGAAATGGAAGATAGCAGCAAAACACATCCCACACTACCAGTCAGTGCGCGCCGCGTATTATTCCGTCTTCAAAGAGATGCCCCGGTGGCGGTTTCGATATTCGAGTAGTGTTCATTAATTTGTACTAACTAGGAACTTGCAACTGTACAAGTCAAATAGTGCATTGGAGCCACAACATGTTACGTGCCTTTGACAAATTATGCAAATGACTTGACATATATAGATCTTTATGTTTCAGGAGGCCTTGATCATTGATCGATATGAAATAAAATTGTGATGGTATATTTAGTTCAGTTCAGCTGATTTAGTTCTGCAAGCACCTGACCCAAATTTCTTCATTGTGGAAAGTTTCTACAACAAACAAAAACTGCCTTTTGCGTCCATACTCCTAGAGTTATGGACTCAACACACCTTACATTCCTTATGTCCCATTTAGAGTTGACGTGTTTTATTGATCAATAGAAAATAAACTTTACAAATATTACAAACGCGATTGACTACCAAACTATACATGGTGGCGCATGGAAAACGAAACAGACGCATTTACTGGCAGCTCAGGTTTTTTTTTTTGGAACAATGCTCAGACCCGTCGATTTTGTTTTCGAGGGGGACACAAGTCTGGAAAAAAATCACGTTAGCACGTGCAGCCCCTTAAGCGGGGGTGACGCCACCCCCAAAATCTTAAATGGCAAGGGCGGTCGAGTGATACCTTATTTTAAAGGTCCTTCAATTCCCTTTATATTGATATAAAATTAATGTGCTTCAGTTGAGTAGTTTTGAAGATTTATCGATTTTAAGCTTAAATAAAACTAATACATCATCATTAGTGGAGATCAATATGTTTGGCAGAAAAGTAATTTAAAAATGAAAGATGAACTGACCCGTTAGGCAAGTAAATGTTGAAAATGGCCACCATGACTCTCGATACAATAATAAAGATTTTGCTCAAAACTTTTCCGCACATTTTGTAATATTTGAGGAGTAATTTGAAGGCACTCATTCACAATTCTTTGTCGCAGGTCGTCTAATGATGTTGGTTGAGTAGCATAGATTTTGCTTTTTAAATGACTCACATAAAGAAATCCAAAGGTGATAAATCTGGCGATCTTGGGGGCCATTCAATGGCACCTCTTCTACCAATCCATCGATCTGGAAACGTCTGATCTAAATATTGTCGAACACGTAATGCGTAATGTGGTGGGGCACTATCTTGTTGAAACATCAACCTATTCGCAATGTACCGCCAATCATTCTGATTTTCAATTATGACTGTTAGTGCAGGATCTATAGCATCTTCCAGTAATTCCAAATACGTGTCACCGGTCAAATTTCCAGGTAAGAAAAAAAGACCAACTAATTGATCGCGAAAAATATCAGCCCAAACATTTAATTTTTGTGGCTGCTGTGTATGAACCTTATGATAAATTCTGGGATTAAAATCGGACCAATATCGGCAGTTATGACGATTTACTACGCCATTTAAGAAAAAGGAAAATTCTTCGGAAAAGCAAGTGTTGAATAGAAAATGGTCATCGTTTATAGTTCGTTCACTCATGTTCTCACAAAATTGTAATCACCGATCAAAACCGTCTTCATTAAGTCCGTGTACCAGGTGAATTTTATACGGATGAAAGCTGTGGGTCTTTAGAATCCATTGGACAGTACGTCGACTAACACCACACACACTCTCCAATTTGCGGGTAGTTAACGTAGGATCTACATAATTCTAATTCTATTGATTATTTCCGAAAAATATTTTGATAATTTCAACTTTCTGCTGTGGAATATACCATGGTTAATTTGTGTAATAAAGCGTTACAAGTTATTTTAGCAACAAAGTTTGGTCAAATCAATCACAAACTATGTACTAAATTCCTATTTAAAATAAGTACGAGATATTTCCTTATCTTTCTTCAAGAAATAACTTTCTTGCCACAAAAAAACGCTCCAATAGCTATTTTCAACAACAAAATGATAAACAAACCATGGGCGTAGTGGAGAAAAGCATTTACTTATTAAGTAAATTCCTTTAGTCAAATTTCTTCTGAAACCAGTACAAACTTATCTGATGTACCTATTAAAGTCTACTTTAAGCTTTAAATCAACAAATCTTCAAAACTGCTGAACTGAAGCTCATGTATTTTACATCATTATAAAGGGAATTGGAAGACCTTTAAAATAAGGTATCACTCGACCCCCCTTTCCATTTAAGATTTTAGGGTTGGTGTCACCCCCGCCCAGGGGGCTGCACGTGTTAACGTGATTTTTTGCCACTTGTGTCCCCCTCGTAAACAAAATCGACGGGTCTGAGCGTTTTTCCAAAAAAAAAAAACAGCTGCCAGTAAATGCGTCTGTTTCGTTTTCGATGCGCCACCCTGTATATGTGGACTTGACACAGTTTGCCTCTTAGGTACAGGTTCATGTCGTATCTCGATATTCTTCGTAAATGAACTAGAGAAAGAGTTCCGAGATTTTATAGTAAATCACTTTTGTATCATTATGGGCAAAGACTACAACTACTAGGCTTTTACTCAGCCATCAACGATTGTAACCAGAAATGACTGGGTAATGTTCATATAAGGGCTAAATATATTGAGCATATTCGCAGCAGTACGGTTTTGTATTTCCCAAGGTTTAAAAACTATTTGCTGCCGTTGTGCTTATTTCCTGCAATAAATCGACATTTCATCAGAATATTGATTTGGATAGTAACATCAACTTCAAATTGCCTCAAGTACCTTCGTAAGCAATATAAAAAAAAGCGTCTAGTAGATTGACTCTGCCCTCGCAAGGCTCATCACGAACCCTTACGACTCAATAGTTTCGTTCACGTTCACACATTTCTACCTCCGCCTTGAGCATGAATAGTGGTACCACGACTAAACATCCTTTGAACTGTGTATAATATCGATACGCGTGTGTTGAAAATATTTCTATCATTCAAGTTTTAGGCAGATATGTGCAAAGTAATCAGTAAAACAGCTAAATCTAATAATTAACATATTATCCGTTTTACTTACGACCATGAAGTAGAAACAGCTTTTGCTTACCTGTAACAGAAAAAATCGTGAATTAATACTTGGAAGGAGGGTTGTGTTTTTCGCGCGTGGGTACATACATACATAACGTTCATTCGGTTATTGAAAAACATGTTAAACGTGCCCTGAAATCAGGTCCAATATATACACCTGACCAGTACGTATCACTGGTTCAGACAGCCAAAAAGACTGGATTACCTTACGAAGTCCAAGAAATGAGCTACGCCGATTTTGTAGATCTAAAAAAGTTATCTGAACAGACATCTTTTAACTTTAAGAAGGACTCTTCCGGTGAGGTTGTAAAGCTGGCTAATGCAGCCATCATAAGGATAGAAAAAGAAAATCTAGATAAATTTTTATACAAAACTTCTTATAGTGAGCCTGAATATAGAGTTGTTGAGATTAAACAAAGAACTACCCGAACAAATCAAACTTTCGATAATGTGAAGTTGGAACCGGCTTATCGAGATATACTTCCGATATCAAAAAAGAAGTACGATGGACTGATGTTCCTGTTACGCATGAATACTATAAAGAAATGTTATAGCCCATTCTATAACAGCCTTAAAGTATCTAACGATGTCGATTAGTTTCTCTTTAAAACTTCTGTATCATAAAATTATTAGCTAGAATTTAAGTTGCGCGTACCTTTCATTTCCAAAAAAGTTACAGGTTCATTTGTTTCAAAAGTACATTGTTTAGTTCTTTATAAGATTTTTTATATCGCATTTTAATGTACAGGTTCTGTTGTTGAGCGATAATAAAAATTTTGAAAAGTATGATACTGAGTATATACCATGCTCCAACTCCAAAAATGACAACAATTACGTTCATAAAACGGCACAAATTAAAATTTAAAAAAAACAAAATGTCATATTTAAAAGAGAAGTCAAATTCTGATTGATATTATGTATTGTAATGCCAATGCCAGAAAATTCGTATGAAAGCGAGATCACCTAAGAGTCACGTTACACGTCAAAATAATTAAATTTGTTTTGGCTATTCTTAAACCAGCTATATCTCGAAATTATATAGTTTTGATTTGTGCCAATGTTGCAGCCGGTGAGCGATATGTAGACAAAAGATATATTTCTCGCTATCACATATGTGGTGTTGATTGATTTGTCTTAAAGTGCGAGTATTAGTGGGTTTATTACAATTATAATAAAACAAAATGGCAGGTTTTCTAAGGACGTTCAACCTTGGAATTCCTATTTCACGAGCTGCAGCTTTAACGAATTTTGGTATATGAGGTACCAATAAATTTGACTAGAAATGCAAGTAACGTTGAATATATTATCCCTAATAATATCCTTACTAATGTTATAAATAGGAAGATGATCACTCAATCGCGCCAACAATCTTGGTTTGTTTTTGATAATTAACAGTGTGTCGTTCTTATACAAGATGCTCTGGTGACAGAAGATTTTTGTCAATTCCAAAACCTTCACCAAACGTGAGGACCATCATGAATGCATTTTCTTTGCTACAAACATCAATGTACTGGAAGTATCCAAACCTTTAGCGATGTTTTTTTGTAAAGAAAATAAAAAGGAATGTGATCAAATCTGCCATTACGAGCAGCCAGAAAATGTGCAGCACGATGACGAAATTTAAAGCGGATATATTTTTGCTTTCATTTGCAAGCTCCTTCTAAGTTTCGTTTTACATGCAGGACATGCAAGGAACTTGTATCTAACATCGGATTTTTTAGATGCTAGCCATTTAAAATCACTTTAGACCGTTGAGAATTTACCATCGATATCCTAAAACACCCGTTTTACAGAGAGTGTGATGAAGCATGAGATTCAAATATATATATATATAACTTGAGACGTGTTCATTGTCGTCTAGACCAGTTAGGTGAAAAATTAAAGCTTCTGCCTTTTGTTGGGTACTTCGACAAAATTTAAGCAAAGAGGACTCTTTATACTTTTTTTAATTCTCTCTAGCTTTCAATGGACTTTGCCATCATCATCAGGAGAGTAGTATGTGAGGATGTTGCTAATTGTTGTTTTCGTATAGGATGAGGGAAACGTCCAGTAACATGGTGAGAGCTGGATACATGGTACAATGGTTAAAATTATATAAAATATGACAAGACAAGTTAAAGACAGATTAAAAATTATTTAGAAAATATATTATATAAATTTTTCACCTATATATATATATATGTCCATATTGTTATATCCCACAGCACCGATATATTCATCTGTGGTGAATTGAACAGAAAATAAATATTATGTAAAACGTACAACGTTTTGACAAGTAACGGCACTGTTTCATGCTTATTGGTAGTCATCATCGAAGGCGAGGCCTCACATGACTTTACTTTCTTCCAACGAGTTGTAGAAATAAAATATTTTCGTGTGTACTCTGTTCCATGGGCTCTAATTAGAGCTGTATGTACAGAATGCGAGTTACTGTATCTGGGAACCTGAAGTTGTTGCTAAAACGGCCCAGAGAAAAAAACTGAAGACATTCAGAAGAAACTGCAAGCATATCAACAGCTTCGTCGTTCTTAAAATGCATTTGGTAAGCACAAAAATTGTTCAAAGTAACGCGAAATTTCTGACAACTATTGACAATTTGAGGATTATTTATGTTTTAATTAGGTATTTGTTTTGCTGTATTCCATGGCCAGCTTCTATTAATTGCCTTTTTCGTATATACCTATTTGAATAAAAAATATGCCTATTGTTATAAAAATTACTTCTTTACCTATTAGCGGTATTCTGTAACATTTTTAAAATGGGTGTTTTCATTCTGATAAATAACAAAGATATCCAGAAAAATTAGTTGAAGGAGATAAAAAGTTAAGGGATTTCCGAATAAATTTTTTTTGGACTAAATTTTTAGGTTAGGAAGAAGATACCGGGATACGGTTTTCGCAAGCTTTTTTAGACTTCTTAAAAAAATCATACCGATGCATATAATTTTTTATAGAAAGTTATCCATTTCTGTCGGAACGTCGATAAAAGTCCTCTAGCGGCCACATGTGAATCTAACAAATCTTCAAATAATACAACATTTGTAGCCCGAATAGGTCTTTCCATCTAGCCCAAGCTCAGCCGTTTCGAAGATACAAGATTCAAGTTTTACGGGGAAACCTTTGAGTACCCCCCCCCCACACAAACCAAAAAAAAAATAACATTACCCTTGACTTTAAAGATCAGATATTTTTTTTTAGGTTAATAAAGTGGAATTCACAGAAACATCACTTTTTCAGATACAAGATTGCAGTTACACCCCTTAGCGGCCATTTCAGAAACTTGAAAATATTTTCCAAGTTTTTCACTTGGCCGTTTTAGTGAGTAATTTTTTTACCGGAAACCTCTACGATGGATAATAATAATAATAATAATAATAATAATAAATCGTCTTTATTTATAAAGTTACATAGTATTGGGCGAAGTTTAGCTAAATAGCTACTCTTCCACTTAACCCTATTATTTCCATGGTTGTGAACCAATGTAAATACATGTAATTAACATGTATATATATACATTGGCTAACCAAAGGAAAACAAAAATATTGTAAGACATAATATAGAAAATATAAACAGATTCAGCAACACGTCAAATAAAATTTTTCTGGCGGTTACTAATCTAAACTACAAACTACTACTTAATTACTACTACGAGTCATTTTTGATAGCAAATGCTGCTTGACACAAACTTTAAATTTAGTTTGAGATACATTTTTGAATGCATCAGGTAGCACGTTATACAGTTTGACACAATTATACCTAAAAGAGCGAGTAAATAAAGCCGTACGGTGCCGTGGAATATCTAATAATTTGCCATACCTGAGCATGCGATCTCTAACAGATTGCCTGAAAACAATTTTTTTGAAGAGGTATTCGGGAGTTCCCATGATAATTAAATTATGAATGAACTTTAAGATAAGATACTCGTAAGAGCTTTTAATATCTAACCATTTTAAACTACGAATACAGTGTGAAAAATGATCATATTTTCTTAAACCGTAGATGAGGCGACAGCACGAATTTTGAATCAGTTGAAGTCTGCGAATTGAGACTTGATCTAAGTAAGGATAGAAAACTATAAGGCAGTAGTTGATTTTTGAGAGAACTAGGCTTTCACAAAGATGTTTTTTTTGAAATTGATGAAATGCCTATTAACAAACAATATTTTAGTACAACAAAGCAGTTTCTTACTAATTTAGATATATGCTCACGAAAACGTAAATCCTTGTCAAGTAAAACACCCAAATTTTTTGCAAGATCCTCATAAACTAAAGAAGTGTCATTAATCCGTACTGTCGTGTTATTTCTGATATTAACGATTTTGTTTTTTGGTGCAAAGAGATCAGCTTTAGATTTAGAGGCATTTATCGTTAAGGAGCTATGCTTGGAAAAACTAACAATAGTGGCTAAGTCACAATTCAACTCGTCAACAGCTGCTACAGAGTCATCTGGATCAAAAGTTTTACATATGTGTGTATCATCCGCAAAAATCATCACTTCAGTGGAGCGTATCAGTTTACACATGTCTGATATGTAAATGGAGAACAATAGCGGTCCTAAAACAGAGCCTTGAGGGACCCCTGATATCACATTCTTATATGACGAATATGAGTTGTCCAAATGTACCCTTTGCATGTAATGATCTTGATAGATGCTTGAGAAAATCCAATATATTTGCATTTTGAGATCAAAGGTGAATGATTGATAGTGTCAAAAGCCTTGGAGAAGTCAAGCCATACAAGAGCCGCTGCTTGACCCCGATCCAAGCCTCAACAATATCATCAGTCACCTTAAGCAGGGCAGTGGCGGTGCTATTCCCTACTTTGAAGCCAGACTGGTTTTTTGGAATTATGTTATTCTCAGAGCAGTACTCTTTCAATTGATCATGTACTATCCTTTTCAATATTTTTGATAGAATCGGAAGTAAACTTATTGGGCGCAGGTCGGAATAAGCTGAAGGGTTATTAGTTTTTGCTAAGGGAACAATTACTGCTTGCTTCCATGCAGAGGGAAGTTCCAAACAAGAATTAATCAAATGCGTTAAATATTTGCCAATCACAGGAAGACACAGTTTTATCATATTAGGCGTAATACCATCATGCCCACATGCATTAGATTTTATTTTAAATAAATGCGAACGTATATCTTCCTCAGTGGTCATGACCAGATCAAATTCTATTTCACTAGCACAGAGCTGAGTATTATCTTCAAAAACAGATAAAAAATAATCATAGGTTCCCCGATACAGTACTTCGTATTCTTTGTTGGGCACCCTGTCCTCTTGTTTGAATTAATCAATCTGTTTAAACTGGTTTCCAAGAGCATAAAGTGACGATAACTCAGACTGAGTCATCGTTTTCACTGTTTCGGACATCAGAATAATGGACAAATTCAAAATGCTGTGATACTGCTCTGGGTGCAATCCAGGAAAAATCGGAATGGAAATGTCAGAACGCATACATCATTTTATACTCCCAGTGAATTATAGAACAGATACGGTGCTGTAACGTGTTTTGTAGCGAAAGCAATTCTTGCTATATTGAATCGTACGCGTCCGCGGGAACGGATCGCGCTTTGTGCTGTCACGATTTGAAAAATTCCTTTCTATATTGCCATTTTATATTTAGCCTCTACGTGATTTGAACTCGTACCACACGTTCTTCCTCAATGTGCAGGCGGTTTGGGAGTCTTATATGTTAAAAGCTTTTGAAGTGGACATTTACAAAATTCTTATCGCTCACAGGATAGCATAAAATAGAGGCTATTGTCTCTATGTTTGAGAAATATTCCTTCGAGTGTCACACAAACACATCCAATTATTCCAATTTCTAAAAAAAATGAAGCCTACTGAGTTTAATGATCTCAGACCTATCAGTTTATTACCAATTATATCAAAAATTTCAGAAAAAATAATAAAGCTCCAACTGACCGCTTACCTAGAAAAATTCTTTATACTTCTCGACACTCAATCCGATTTTTGAAAAAATTATAGCACATCTGCCCTACTCAATCTGCAAGACAATATTTAAGTGCCTTAGATAAGAAAATGGCACTAGCGTTAATCTCTATAGACTATTCGAAAGCCTTTGACAGCATCCATCATGAATTATTACTTGCTGACTTAAATTAGATAGGTCCTGAAAGTGTATCCCTTTCGTTTGCCTGAAGAGAAAATAATTTCCTGAGGTGTACCTCAGGGCTCTGTATTGGGGCCGCTGCTGTTCCTCATATACACGTTCGACTTAACCCTTAAATAACAACATGAGAATATTCATACACGAATGACAACATGGGGTCGCGTATGACCCCAAGCAGAAATACTGTTATTGATGATATCTTTTCATTGAAAACAATGCCAAAAATATTTTAATTAACTTTAATTAGAGAAGAAAAAGGAATACAACATTTTTAAATACAAAATGCACAAATAGCCTGCCTGTGTTCGGCGCACAAGTTACGCTTGCATGTTATACAGGTATCTCTACCTTTTCTGTCTAGAGTTCTTGGACATACGGAGCAGCGTTTGTTTCCTCTGGTTTCCAGACTAAGTGGTACCTGGTTTACAATATCCGTTTCTGCTACATCCAACACCTCTAAAATCTGCTGCCTGAAACAAAACAAACAATATTATATCGATAAGCTGCTTTTTCATTCTGTTACCTTAGATTGCGTGGTAAATTTGTTATTTCAAGCCTCCTTTCATATGTTCTTTGGTAAGGTCTTCACCCAGCTGCATCAGGAACATGCGTCGTGGTGTTTTCTTAGTGTCTGGACTATTGGCTTGATAGATCACGTAGGCATTCACAGTACCCCCATCAAGCATGCCGTATAAAACTCTAAGAGGCCATCTTTTCGTTCTTCTTGATACGGACTTACTGTGACATAGCTGGTCAAAAACATCGATTCCACCTTTGGTAGCATTATAAAATAAATTAATTTCGGATTTCCCTGAATTCTGGTCAACCTCGTTACCGTTATGCATTGTTGACAAGAGTAGTACTACCTTATTCTTTTTAGGAGTATGAGACACCAAAACTACGTTTCCATCGAAAACAAATCTGTTAGGCTCTCATATTTTTGGTCTGAGAAATTCAGTTGGAATTTCTGGTTTATTTTTTCGTAAGGTGCCTACAAATGTTAGTCCTACTTCCTTCAATGATTTTGCCATGCCCATAGACGAAAACCAGTTATCTACCGTGATATTCCTATTAGTTTTGTGAATTGGTTCGGACATTTTTAGAACATATTGTGAGGGTAACGGAAGGTTACTTGGACGATCTTCTTTGCCAATATATGGTACTGCTGAAACCATATAAAACGTTTTTGCATCACACAACATCATTATTTTGATGCCGTATTTATCTGGCTTATTTGGGATATACATGCGAAATGGACAGCGCCCTCGAAAACCCAGAAGCTGTTCATCAACAGTAACGTATTCCGATGGCGTGTAATTATTTCGATAATTTTCAACATATCTTTCCCAAATATTTCGGATAGCACAAAATTTATCTAATTCTCTCCTTTGGTTTCGGGTTGTTTTATCATCAAATCGAAGATTTTTTATAAGAAACGAAAACCTGTTTTTGCTCAAAGTGGCTCTAAAAATTGGTGCGCCATACTTTTTAGACCACAGCTCCTCTAAGTTTACATGATTATTCTTCAATACTCCGCTTATGTATAGTAAACCAAACAGTGCTTCTAATTCCGTTTTATCTGTCTGTCCTGTGTATCTTTGCGATTTTGAAAACTTTGCCTGATTTCTGCTTATTTCTTCATTTGTATGAGTAACAACTGTATGCATCATGTTATCATTAAAAAATAATTTCCACACCTCATATTCGGTTTTCGCAGTACGTGCTGCCCCTTTAGGTCCAGGAAGATGGACAACCAAATTTTTCTTCATTGTACGTGTATTTTTTGAATGAAAAGGTTTCGAGTTCCATTTGCAACCATTTTTCCCATAAATCACTTTTCTTTGCAGATCTGCTAAAGGTATCTCGTCGTCGGATGACTCGTTTTTAGTAGGCTCTTACACTATTTCGTCCGCTTCCACTTCTTCTTCCTCCTCATGATCTTCAGCTTCACTTCCACTATCACCCAAGTCATTATTACTATCGTCACTATCCTCTTCACCTCGTTCGTAGCGTCTTACAATTTCTTCGAGTTCTTTGTCACTTAAATATTTCTTTTGCGTAAACATGGTTTTTTATTCCGCAAATAACAACACGGGTCACGGGCGACCCCAATAACCTATAAATCGAATAATAGCTGTCGACCGCTCTCGTCGCTTTCTGTGATAATACTAATGGCTACGCTTGAAAGGTAGGTGGGGGGAGACGCCTGCAGCGGAATATTCGTACGAAATATGACTGAAATATTATTGGGCTGGGTCACAGGTGACCCCATGTTGTTGTTTAAGGGTTAAGCAAAGGTATTGATAATTCTCATGTCCAGTCATTTGCAGACGATACGTAGTTGCTCTATTATTTTAACCCAGATAATGTCAATAATAATACTCAAATTTTACAAAACGATGTTAGTAAATTAATTAAATACTCTTCAGATCAGAATCTACTTATTAATCCACAAAAATCTAAAATGTTATTATTTTGCGCACAAGCAAAAACATACAATGTAACATAACTCTTGAACATTCAGATAAATAACCAAATCTTGCAATTTTCTGATTCTGCAAATTTGATACAAAATTAAGGTTCATTGAATATGTCTAAAGTCTTTCCCAGAAAACCTACCTACGGCTGCGTACTCTTAGAGCAAATAGGTATTTACTAAACTTAAAGTTGCGTTAAAAACTATGTGAAGCATTGGTCATATCTATACTAAATTATTGTAATATCGTATACTACACTTGTTCAGACAATTTCACCAAAAAAGTTATTCAAGTTATTGAAAACAATTGTATACGTTTCATCTTTGAATTTGATCATGTATCAGCGTATCCCGTTCTAAGCTGGTTAAAAATTAATGACATGGTCAAGTATCAACATTTAGTTTTTGTTCACAAATCGCTGCTCACGTCTAAACCCTCTTAGTTGAGGGAAAAAAATTCATTCAATAATGATGTTTACTGTAGAACTCAAGAAAATAATATTAGAATACCCCTATACTTTCTGAACGTAGTTTTCCTTACAATGTTGCTTTTATTTTCGATGAATAAAGAATTTTTATTACCTGTCATTCGAGGTGACAAAGGGTTTAAACATTATTACTCAACCCTCCAAACATAATTTACGTAATCATTGATTTCTTTTTTTTCGTCTTTAATTCAGGTTAATAATTTTTTGGTGTACTTGGGTTTGGAAAGTATGTCTTTTTCTTTTTATACTTTCGATGTAGTGAACCAAATCTGTTTGTGGATAGTGTATACTTTTGAACATCTGCTAGCGACTTTATGGTTAAGTGTAAGAGTAGCAGCATGCTAAACTTCACCATGTAAGTCTAACATTTGGCCATACTACAATGTAATTGTGGATAAATAAAGACGTCTATTATTATTATTATTATTATTTTTACTATTTTTACTATTTCAATTACATACTCTCGACCTCCTCTGATCGGACAGTACCAGCCATCGGAACCCAACAAGGGTTCTGAGGTTCAGCTGGCTCTTATGTTAATACTCTTCTCAGAATGTGGGCTGATCCTGCAAGCAGTGCAATCTTTTGCAGTTCATATATATCTGGCTTTCCTGGTATTTGATCTAAGTACGTATGCATTCCCTTTTTAATTGCTCCCAATGAGCCAATTATAACTGGTATAACTTTAGCTTTTACTTTCCACATGCGCTGTACTTCTATCTGTAAATCTTTATATTTTGAGATCTTTTCTGCTTCCTTGATAGTAATGTTCTGGTCGTCTGGGATAGCTACGTCCACAGGTATGCAAGTTTTATCTGACCTATTATGAATGACGATATCGGGACGATTAGCTGATATGGTGTGATCAGTTATAATTGAATAGTCCCACAGTACTGTGCATTCGCTTCTGTTGATTACCGGGGGCGTGTTATGACTATACCATGTTCGAGGCACGTCAATCTGGAGTTCTTTACAAATTTTCCAATGAATAAATGTAGCAACCCTATTATGCCGATGTAGATATTCAGTTGCTGCCAGAACTGTGCACCCTGTAAGGACGTGCTGAATTGTTTCCTCTTTTGTGTTGCACCTTCTACATCTGCTATCGACTGGTTTGCCCAGGATCTTGCGCTGGTGGTATCTTGTGTTTAGGGCTTGATCCTGGGCTGCTATGAGCAAACTTTCGGTTTCTCCCTTCAGATCTGAACTGTACAGCCAAGATAGCGTGTTCTGTCTGTCTATGTAAGGCTTTTCCAGACTATGGAAGAATTGACCATGAAGTGGTTTGCGCTTAATCGATTCGATTCTGTGCTCTTCAATGCTGTTTCTGAGAGCAAGTTGTTCGCCCGTTGTTTCGACTTCGGTTGGAGCTTGTTCCTCAAGGAGATACTTTGCAAGGACACCTTCAGATATTTTTAGCAAAGAGTATTTTGCCTTATTCCACCAATTCTATCATACGGTCGGTGTTGTTTGAAATGTATTTGCTGAGATTGACGATGGCAATGTTGTACGCAGATTCAATCTCAATTATTTTTATTATTATTATTATATTGTTCTCAAATATGGACTCAGGTACAGTTGGTCGTTCCTGCCTACTTGTCTGCCAATAGGCAGAAACTGTAAGTCATGTTAGCTTTGTCTTATCTGAAGTAACAGAAGAAAACTTAGTCAAATAAATCAAGAGATACGACAGGTTGGCATAGACCAAGGGATTTCAAAGCTCATTAGCGACATGAGATGCTTCCTAATACGCAAAATAAATTAGGTGGGTGAGCGGCAACTATTGGGAACTTAGAATTTAACCTTGCAAGAAAAATGGTTCCACCTCGTACCGCTACACCGAGTTCAATCAACTGAGTTTTCTTGTAGCTTTATGTAAAGTGAAAAAATATTTTGTAGAATTTCTGATGCCGCCAGCAGTTACTGCTTTGCTTCTGTTCCGGCTGGTCTAGAAATACATTGGGTCTACTTTTTTTTGTAGTATTCAAGTCCGTATCTTTTTAATTTCTTTTTTATCCGGTCCAGTAAACAGCAACAACTTGGAGCGGTTGTTGACCTTTATCCTAATTGATTCCGTTAGCCTGGCTGTGTATGACAACGGCCACGAAATAGCAGCATAATAGCTCCTCTGGTAGAAGACCAAATTGCCTTATTTATCATGCAAATTGCTGTTTAGCTGCGATGCGATGCCGCGCTGTTTTCTTCAAATAAGGGAAGCGCTTCTGTTTTTGCTAATGAGCGCTGTGTAGGAATCCCTAAAATACAGGGCGACTCAGATTATTCCAAAGAACAATGCTTACACAGCACTTGGACATAATAGCTGCTTAATGTACAGGGTGTTCCTTAATGATATGCGAATATTTAAGGGTGTGAATCTACATGAAAAATGAATGTTAGTTTGCCTCATAAACTACGGTCCAAAAATGTTTCCTTACAAAAACTCGAGGTGTTGAAGTTGTAGGAAAAAAATTGATACTAATTAATATTTACAGAACCGCTTCAGATATTTCACTGATATTTAGTACGTAGTCAAAGTCAATAAAGTTGCACATTTTTCAATGCAAAAATGATTTTTAGCTTTAACAGTGGGCGTGGGTACAGGTATTGACTTCGACTTTTTTAAGAAAAAAATAATACGCCAACGGTTTTTTGCCAAATAAAAATTACTTTTTAATTCCCTGTCGAATTTAAAACAAATGATTTCTCTTGAATTGGTTTCCTTTGATGCGACATTTTTGATTAAAAAAATAAATTGTCTAACTTGCAAAATTGTTATTAATTTAATTGAAAAAATTAAACACGTTAGGCGTAATGAACAACAACAACTGACAACATAAACATAACACTAAAACGAACGAAATGATTACTGAAATGTGCTGGTGCAGCATCAAGCATCAAAGGCAACTGTTGTTGAAGAAAATTGAGGTAGAGTCATGTGTAACTGTACGCGATTTCTAGTAAATTGCTTCCAGAATAAAAGTTTTAGCTAATTGAAAAACAATCAACGTTTAATCTAATCTAATAAATCTTTATAAACAAAAACAAAACATAAATTTTTAATTCTAATAATGATTGTTATTTTAATTGAAACTTTTAATCAACAAGGGAAATGCGGACACTTACCCTTATCAGTGAGAAAGTGTCCGCATGCCTTCGATTAAGTGTACGCAACAACGACAAAATGTCCGCACAACAGAAACTTAACCCATTGCACATAGATCACAAGTAAATATGCCACTCTCGTAGCTGGTACAGGCTTCGTGCCACCAATATTTACAAATTGTACACTCAGTACACACTTCAGCCGTATCTTCGTACTTTTCTCGACATAGCGGACAATAGTATTCTTGTTTCGAAGATTTATCTGTAGCCTTATCCTTTTTAATATTATATTTCTTCTTTGGATTGCTTTTGGTTTTCATGTCTATCTTTTTTACTCTAATCTTCTTAGATTTTTGATCAATTTTTGTTTCTCCTCCAACTGAGTTTTAAAAAGACTATTGGTGATTATTTCCGCCTTGCTATGATTTTTGCGTCGAGTCTGAATGTGTATCGCCTTTGGTAATGGGCTTATATCGATTAAGGAAATATGAGACTGGTTATGGAAATGTTACGAAAAATAGAGGGCGAAATAATTTGTTGCTAGTGAAATTCTTCTATTTTCTCCATTGGATCTGAAGGTGCGTGTAATTGTTCATTGGCTATGATAATTTCAGCTGCAGCTTCCATGTTCCGTTGGCTAGGTAGTGTTGAACTTTGTTGATTATGCACTTCAGCAATAGTTACAATGACGTGTTGTTCAGCCGGTGATGCACTTGCTTGACGATGCGTTTCAGCAATAGTCAAAATCTCTCGAGTTTCTGCCAAATTGGCAGACGTAGAAGCACTTGATCCTTCTATAGATGTAATAGCTAAAGCTCGATAACTTTGCCTATCTTGAATTTCTACTGTAGATACAGAATTTGAAGTAGATTGATTTTGAGTGATCTAGAACGTAAAAATAATTCTTGCAATATTGAATTTACTTCAGTAGGGTAAGTATACTCATTTTAATGCTGCGGACACTTACCCGCGTATACTTTCCCCATCCCGTCAAAGCATACAAAAATTATGAAAAAAATAAGTACGACTTACCTTAGAGAAAACACGCAAATACTAAGAAAATATTTATTATTTTCTCCTGTTCACAGTCACTTTGTATATTCAATTAGATTAATTGTAACATTTTCACCATGAAAATGAATTTCACGAAAATTAATAATATATCTATACACAAATAATATCGTCGAATAATCATCCCCAGCCCTGTACGGCAAACATGTGACGCAGTACTTTCGCTTCGCAGTCAACAGCGAACTAAATGCGGCAGGTCTCGACAAGTTGTCAACCGTGGTATTCACACGTTCATTTCGGACACTTACCCGCTGCGTACAGTTACCCCACATGAGTCTAAGTCTGTCCGCCAAGTCGTCCCGGCAAGAAGAATGGGCCAATAAAGTGGTTGCTAATAATTCCTGCCCATACGTTAACCGAAAATTGGTGTTGGAAATGGGTTTCGGTTACGGCATAGGGATTTTCTTCTGCCCACAGATGATTAATGTGGAAATTCTGAATGGCATTTCGAGAAAAATTAGCTTCGTCCGTGAACAGAATCATTGATTCAAATCGTGGATTTTGTGTACATTTTGAAGATACTACTGACAAAAGGTAATGGGAAGTCATGCCTGTACTCTTAAAATATGGTAAGGATATAACAAAAAATTTGATGGCAAATATTTAAGTGTCTAGCGATCTTCCTCGTACTGGTTTCAGGATGTTGTCAGACTTCGTGCACCACTGCTTCCTCAATTTCAGGTGTTCTCACACTTAGAGGTTTACTTTCAGATGTTCCTTTTCGGACAGAACCAGTTTTAACAAGACGACGATGAATATTAGGAAAGGTTCGACTATCTGGCAAAGCACGATCGGGATATCTCTGGTCATAAATCTATCTGGCTTGCTCACCATTACCGTCAGCAAGGCCATATACGTAATGCATTTTCGCCATTTCTGCATTTGAATAACTCACCATTATTAACAAGATTGTAAAAACTAAATAATGAAAAAGATGTCACAGCGAACAGATTTGAATAACAGAGACTTGTCAGATGTCAAAAGCCAGTGACATATTCCAGAGCAACTAGATATTTATTGCTAAATTGCATTCTTCAATTATTACATTAATTTTCTCGGACAATAGAGCGGTTTTTATTTTTATTCAAAAATGGCACATCTAAGGAAAACAATTCAAGAGAGATCATTTGTTTTAAATTGAACGGGGAATCCAAAAATAGTTTTTATTTGGCAAAAAACCATTGGCGCACCATTTTTTTCTTAAAAAATATCGAAGTCAATACCCGTACGCACGCCACTGTTGACGCTAAAAATTATTTTTGCACTGGAAAATATGCAGCTTTATCAACTTTCACTGCGTACTGAATATCAGTGAAATATCTGAAGCGGTTCTGAAAACATTAATTAATTTCCATTTTTTTTCTTAAAACTTCAACACCCCGAGTTTTTGTAAGGAAACATTTCTGGACCGTATCTTATAAAGCAAACTAACATTAATCTTTCATGTAGATTCATACCCTTACATATTCGCATATCATTTAGGAGTACCCTGTATATACATAATATTAGAATAGGACTATAAGATCAATGGCAGGGATAAACAGGCTGACTAGTTGTAGGGATATTTTTAAACAGATGGAAATTCGAACCTTAACATATTTATGAGCTATTGATACACGTCAAAACAAATGTGACAAGCTTTTGCTGTCTAACCGATAATCACAACTATAATACTAGATACGTATTGCAATTTTCTTGTTCACGGGCTTGCCACAACGAAAAATGATCTGGGTGGGCATAAAGCTCTACAATAAATTATCAGACAAACAAAAAATTAAAAGAATGCTTCATAAAAAAGCGTATTGTTCCAGAAATGAGTTTCTCTGTGACAGTAGTAATTTTTAGATAATGCTTGTTATGTATAGCTTATTCACTGAAACAAAGCAGTTACGCCATATTTACTAAAATTTGATTGTCAACCTTAATGCAAAATAGATCCTGAATTGGTCCGTATAGTTTGAATTTCCCGGGTACATTTATATTGGTCACAGTTTTCTGTATTGTGATATTGTCGCAAAGCTTGTCAGGTTAGATCCAACGGCTGTTGTATATTTGTGGTTTGTGTTCGTTCTTCGAGGTGTCCTTTTAAGCATTTTGCTAAAATGCCGAAGCCTCTGGGTCAAAAGAATTCGTCATTTCTTTAACGAAATATTTTGAGAACGAACGAGATCATGGAGCTCCATTATTGCCTTTACAGTCCGTAACAGGGGTACTAGGTAGTAAATAGAATGTATTCTAGCTTTAGCGTATACAAAACGTATGCTCCGTAAAGTTGATTGCGGTAAGGCATCGAAGACATGAAGTAGATTTTGTGAAACGTACCAGGATCCAGTAGTTTGAATTAATGTGACAACCTGTAATGAAGTTTTTTTCCGGTGCCGTGAATTGTGTTCTTTCTGACCTCCCCTCGTATTTACGTTTTCTCGAAGAGAGGGAGATTAATCATTAATTATAGATCCGTTATTCTAAAATCGGGATAGTGCCCTGTTCTATATACTTATTATTTTGTCTCCTGTAAAGAGTTTCGAATACTCAAGCAAACATGATATTTTTATGACACATATTTATACGAAAGTCCCATATATACAAAAGTGTTTTATAGGTTGAGTCATTGTCACCAAGTGTTGCGACTTATTTTTTTTAAACGTTTGGTAAACACATTCATGAGAGAGCTATTAATTTAGATTAGTTTAAAGGTCCATTAGCGATAGTACGCGGTTTGATTTTAAGAGTTTTGTTATGGCTTTGGAGTTCGAGAAGCAAGTCTGCAGTGTGCTTACTTCCCTGGGGTGCAGATTGAAATCCAAGCGAGAACGAAACAACCAGAGCTTGAAGTGGACGCGGGTTAACTAAACGCCTGGCCTTATTCTTCACACAAACATATCCATATTGCTGTAAACCGTTCATCGCTTTGGGCTTATCGCATCGCACCATCACCGCTTGCTGGCTTGACCGCATACTGCTTCCGCTTTAACCGCTGCTTTTTAAGCGCTTTTGATTCAGTCCTTCTCCGCTCTATCGCTAAGGTAGCTAGATTCAGATGGGGATTTCCCTCATTTGTACATATAACTTGAGATATCCCGACCGTGCATGAAGTGTATATATGTGCTGTTAATATATCAGGTTGTGTTATAAGTCTTGCTTTTAATCACAAGTACCGTCCTGCCTGAAGTAAGAGATACAAAAAGAGAAGTAGTAGAAGTAGAAAGTAAAGAGTAAGTATCTCGAGTCTAACCCTTTGAGCGTAAAGCATCAAATCCCTGAATTATTTTCTTCTGTTTCAGTCTATAGTGTTGTCTCCACATTCTAAACAGGAGGCTGGCGCCAGAGAAGATGTTGAACTAGAGAGGCAGGTAGTTCGCCAGTTATTGACCCCGAGGAAATAGCGTTACAAACTGAACATGTCTGGGACATGATAGGTCGCAGACTCTCGAGTTTTCAACACCCTACACAGACTTTAGCAGCTCTTACTCACGAAGTTGCAGTAGCCTGAAATGAGATACCCAAACAAGATATCGACCACCTTAACAGCACGATGCCCCCGTGTGTGAATGAGTGTATAGGAAATCGTAGAAAAAGCTTCTGCAGTCACTTGACGAATCAAGCTGAAACTTTAATCATTTTATTAGTAAAGGACACTGAACATATATGCCAGAAATTATTAAAATCGTATAGACAAACGTAGGTGTCACTCAGTATGTTTTATGCGGACTGTCTAAGCTCTTAGAAAAAATAGCAAAACAACTAATTGATTATTCAAACACAAATAGTATCCTGCCTCCCACACAGTCGGGATCTCGAACAGACTTCAGCTGTGCAACTGCGCTGCTTCATAAACAGACGATATATACTAAGTGACATATAAATCCGAACACCCAGTTTAAATGGTTTTATTTTAATAAAATTTTGTCTAAGTACTTAATGAAGCATAATAAGTAAATGATAAAAATTTCAAAATGATTGCACTGCTTTAAAGCCCTTTGAACTTTAATAATGTGTGGATGCACCCTGATGTGCTACGCATTCTCCAACGCGCCTAGGCATGCTTCTGATCAGGTGGTTAATGTCCTACTGTGGTATCTCATTCCAGGCAACCACCAACTCCTCTCGAAGTGCTTCTAGAGTCTGAGGAGGACGTTGCAAATTGAGCAATCTCCTACCCATCATATCCCACACGTGCTCAATTGGGGATAAGTCGGGAGATCTTGGTGGCCATGGTAACAATGTGACATCATTAAGTTGAAAGAAGTCTATCGTGACTCTTGCAACATGTGGTCGGGCATTATCTTGTTGGAATGTTGGATCTGCCAGGGTGTCAAGATAGGGTAAAAGATGGGGTTCTAGAATTTCGTGGATATAACGCTGCGCGTTCATGTTATCTCTGATGAAGATTAAAGGTGACCTGGAACCATAAGCTATAGCACCCCAAACCATAACTCCAACAGTGTGATGAACATGTCTTTCAACAAAAAACTGTGGAATCCTCCTTTCACCACGTCGCCTTCTAACCCTGGCACGACCATCGTGCATGCCTAAACAAAATCGAGACTCGTCACTAAAGACAATACTGTTCCATTCCTGATCCCAGAGTGACCGTTGTCTGCACCACTCAAGGCGATTACGTCGGTGTTCTCGAGTTAAAGAGAGGACCCGGTGTGGCCGGTATGAAAATAAGCCAAAACTTCTCATTCGTCGGTAAACACTTCGCATGCCAATAGGTCTTCCTTGTTCTGCAAACCATTCATTTGCAATGGACCTGGTAGTGGAGAAACGGTCCCTTAAGGCCAATAATCTTAGGCGTCGATCTTCACGGTCTGTTGTTCTACGGCGGCGTCCAGTGCCCCTTGCTCTTTGCGTACGGCCTTCTCGAAGCCATGTCTGACAACACCTAACCACAGTGTCTACACTTCTTTGCACTCTAACTGCAATTGCCCGAAAAGAAAGTCCAGCTTCCCGAAGTCCCACTATACGGCCCCTATCAAACTCACTAAGTTGACGAAATCGTACAGGTCTCCGTACTCTAGGCATCGTAACCGATCGTAAAGGATGTCAAGAACCAAAATCCGCCAACGTTGATTCTTTACTGCGGCTGAAATATTCATTTTTAGAGCGTTAGTGAATTAAAAAAAGCAGTATAAAAACCGGAATGTCCAACTGATGAGGCTGAAAATTTTTTCACTTGTTATTTACAGTAAGATAAATACATTCACCAACTTTTATTAAAATAAAACCATTTAAACTGGGTGTTCGGATTTATATGTCACTTAGTATA